TGATTTTTAAGTCATGTTATATTGTTACCTCCTCAAAAAAAGACCTGGAGTTGTGTTTTGATTCGTTCACACATGCTTGAGTAATCCTTTGTCATTATCCTGTCTACATCTCCAAAGCTGAAAATGCTCTGTTCCACCTTGTGATGTCACGAAGAGGTAGTTTTCAAGTTAACTGCTACCTTTTACCTTTTGTTCAGGAGAGATTGTCAGTTCCACAGTTGAAATCATCCAAATGACTCTAGCGAAGGTGCATGGAGTTAAAACACACACTGGAGCACTTCCTGTATTACCATGTGACATCACATGTTGAAACAGTGGAATGTTTTCAGTTTGAGGAAAGAGCATCGTCTTAATATGCAGGGTTTGTGTGTTAAACATATGCGAACGAAACAAAACACAACTCCAGGTCTGTTTTTGATGAGGAAACAACATTAAAACATAAATCAGAAAACAGCGTGACATGAGCCCTTTAACTGTCACAGCTCCTCTGACATTGATTGATCGGGGACAGTCGGTCTTTGTTGGTCTTTGTCCTCCTCCTCTATCTCTTTGTGGAGGAGGAGTGACAGTGAAGGTGTCCAAAGTGAAAACACATCCCCAGAGATCAGCTGCTGTCCACGTCTGTAACATCCACCATAGAAGAAGTGGCTCCTCTGCCCCCATATAAACCACCAGGATTCACACTCATTGATTTTCTACAGAGGCTCAGAGAGTTTCAGGTACAACGTGTTACAATGGACTGGTGGGTTTTGTTGTAGAAAGGTTGGATTTCAAGTTCAAAATTGTCACTTAATTGTCCCATATTATGCTATTTTCTGATCTGCTGTATGTTATAATGTTGTTTCCTCATCACAAACGTACCCAGAGTAAACCTTTATTATTAGGCTGATCCAAAGCTCAAAGTGCTCATTGTGGTTGTGATTGACATGTAGTGTTCGTTTTAAAATTAACAGCTGCCTTTTACCTTTTGGTTCAGTAGAGATAGGAGATTCCAGGGCTGAAATCATCCAAATCAGGGGTCCCCAACCCCCGAGTCGTGGGTCGTTTGATACTGGGTCACGAAAGCCTCTTCTTGCTTACAACACGTGGACTGAGCCTCCTCCCGTGTTTCCCCTGCCTCTGAACCAGAACTAAAACCAGGACTAAATCAGAACTAAACCAGAACTGAAACCAGGACAAAAATCAGGTCTAAACCAGGTCTAAAACCAAGACTGAACCAGGACTAAAACAGGATTTAACAGGACTAAACCATGTTGTGCGGATTGCGTCTCGTCTCGTCCCATGCCTGCTCCCGTAAATCTCGCATCTTCTCGCATTCTCACATTATTTTCTCTGCAATTCCGGTGTTTCCCAATAAATGACGCACTCTACTTATGCTGCATTCATGTGGTGTCGAAAGATCCGACTTGGCAAGTTGTTTTTCCTACATGAGGGGGCGTTCATGTGAATTTTCAGTGGGAAAGTCATTTTTCTAATCATTCCGACACCACATGAACGCATCCTGAGAATCACCACAACAAAACTACCTCTAGACTTTGATGCACTGGCTAAAACGGGACACCAACAACACTGTTACTGAAATCAAAAGTAAGTTTCTCTACTGTTAAGTGGTGTGAAGGTGCACGTACGCACTCATTATGAACAATTGCGCTGGTCGTTGTTGAGTTTTGTGGAGAGGTGACCCCACTCACAATAAGAATGGATTTCAGTTTAATGCTATATTTTGGACAATTTAAACTAAACCATTATCATCTCCATGGAGACCCCCTGGCTCACAAATAAAAGCTTTTTAATTGTTAAGAGGTCTTTGCTTGTTTTTGCGTCTTGCTGGCATCATCTCCCTGTTTTGTTAGGATAAAGTAAAACCGTCAGATCCAATGAGCACCAGACTGTTTGTACTGTTTTATGCTCAAAGATCCATGTAGCGCCTCCTGCTGGTTCTTGTTAGCATCTTTTTCATGTGGTTTACAAGGGATTTCATGGATAGTGTTGCATTTCTTTACCTGTGGGATTTTTTGTCTTTTAAGTGCGTGAGGAGTTGTCAATATTTTAAAGTGCGTTTCCACACACTCAAGACACTGTACTTGTTGATTTTTACTCTTTTAAAAATGTGAAAAGCAAAACTAGTTCTTTTTAAAGGAGCATTGTGTAACTTTTCTGGTGTATGTCAAACGCTTTTCTTCATGGGGATGTTATTGCTTTGTCTGGAATGTTTCACAGTATGACATTAAAGCTTCTATCATCATGGAGACCAAACTAGACTAAGTTACAGGCCAGATCTGTGGAGAGGCGACCCCCCTCACAGTAAAAATGCCTGTTTTTCTAGGTACCGTATTTTCTGGACTATATATCATTCTGGAGTATAAGTGGCACCAGCCAAAAAACGTGTCATGAAGAAGAAAAAACATATATAAGTTGCACCGGACTATAAGTTGCACTTTTTGGAGAGAGTTGTACTTTATAAAATCAGAGACCAGGAACCGACATTTCATGTTGAAAGTCAAGTTCTAGTAATAACAATAGAACAGAGAACAACAGACTGTTAACGTCACATATGAACCGTTATTAAACTATAACATAAACAGAACAGAACAAGTTTACCAAACTCTCCATCTCACTGCAAATCACTTAATCCATTCAATTCTTCATCCTCTGTGTCACTTCTGAGCAACTTCGTGACCTCAAGAGGTAAACAGAGCGCCACTTCCTCTTCTGTGTAGCTGTCGTCAGACTCGGCTTCAGTTATAGTTAGAATTATTCCAGCATTTCTGAATCCTGACAGGATGGTTTTGGTTGTCACTGAAGTCCAGGCTTTGTCGATACACCCAGTGACTTCCAGGAAAGTTTCATGGTGCACCCTCCTTGTTCTCGTGCAGTTGCGTTCTCCATCGCTTTCCGTCAGTCCCTCACAAGTTTCTCGCTCACTCCAAACTTTCTTTCTGCTGCTCCATTGCCGTTTTCAACTGCATATTTCACTTCTTGCAGCAGGACAGAGGCTCTTTCTGCAGGAGACATGTGCAGTAGAGCAAAGTGACAGAGGTACAGATGTAATAGGAGGAAACACCCAAACCATGAAAAAAAGTGCAACTTATAGTTTGGAAAATATGGTATTTTTGAGCTGTAAAATCATCTGTAATTGAATAAATGTAAAGTGGAGCTTGTTAAAGTCTTATTGTGGAACATTCAAAGCAGAGCAATGACATAGCCTTAGAAACAAGCAGGTGACAAATCCCCAAATCGAAAAGTTACGTAGTGCATCTTTAAATAAGTTTTGCAGTGGTCTAAAGTTATCCCTCACTTACCTTATGCATACTGAGCATCCTATTTATTCACTTTGATGAGTTTATAAGTGCCTTTCACAACATTGAGAGACCAGAGCAGAGTGTTGCTGTGACGATAAAGCTAGCCACAACTAGCATGCTAACACGCACCTCCTGATTATGAGACAACAATTTGCTATGTAGAAGTAAAAATAATCTAAAAATAGTACACAGTGGACATATTTTGACCTCAAGAGCTGCTTATATAATATATCTGCACTGGGGCATGACGGATTTTGCTCAAATACACGGGAAAAATCAGGTACAGGCCTTTAATGTGTTCATTCACTCAGATGCCCTGGGGTAGAGTGACTCAAGACCTACTCACAGCCACTCACATGAGAAGATCTGTCTGTAAATAACAACGTCTGTTCTCTCCTCCTGTCTAGAATCGTGAAAAACAATCAAACAATTTAGGTTTAAAGAGTCAATTTTTTTTCACTGTTTATTGGAAAACTATATGGAAATTTTACTTCTGAAACCAGTTGGTGGGCGGTCATTGTTGAAAAAACTTTAATGTGTTCATGGAAAAGTTACTGCGCAACTTTTCTGGTGGAAGCTCTGCTACTGCTGTGAATAGGGGTGACTCTCCACAGATCTGAATAATCCTTGTATCACTTGTTCATTAATTTTTCAAAATAAAACCAAAAATAAGAAAATGAAAAAAACAACTATTTTCTTCATTATTTGTCTCCAAACCCAAAATGGAAAAAAAAAAAAAAAACGGAAAATGACTAAACCATGACTGAACCAGGACTAAATCAGGACTGAACCAGGACTGAACCAGGGCCCAGTCTCAGTCCCGGTCTCAGTCCCGGTCTCAGTCCCAGTCTGGTCCCAGTCTCAGTCCCAGTCTCAGTCCCGGTCTGGTCCCAGTCTGAGTGCCAGTCTCAGTCCCAGTCTCAGTCCCAGTCTCAGTCCTGGTCTGGTCCTGGTCTCAGTTCTGATCACCCGACAGTTTACGCGGGTACACCTCTGGGCCCATCCCGACACTCAGTCCTGGTTTAGTCCTGGTTCAGCCTGTATGTGGCGCAAAAGTTCGGCATCTCAGTTTAAGTCACGGAAACAAGAAACGTCCATTTTCCGTTTTTTTCATTTTGGTTTTGGAGACAAATAATGAAGAAAATAGTTGTTTTTTCATTTTCTTTTATTTTATTTTGAGAAAACGAATTACATATACCAGATTCTGACCTGTAATCTAGCGTGGTGCTGTAATCTGCTTGCCTCCCTCGTGATAGAAAGGTTTAATCTTTATTGTGGAACATTCTAGACAAAGCAATAACATCTCCATGGAGACAAGCAGGTGACGGACACTCCACTAAAAATGTTACGCAGTGCACCTTTAATTAACCAAAACACCAAAATAAAATGTAATAAAACACTAAAATACAAATCAAAAAGTGACACCTTTGACACATGAAGGTTGAATATTCTCACTGATGTTCACTATTTACCAGCTGAAATAAAGTTTTTTTTTTCTGTCATTGGGCTTTCTCCTCTGTGGATAATAAGACAGTTGTGTTGACAGTTTCAAGGATATAGTTTCTAAATTCAGAATGGCTGTCTCTCCTCCTCCTCCTCCTCCTCCTCTTCCTCTTCCTCCTCTGTGCTGGGACATGTTCAGTTGGTGACACTTATATTTAATTTTTGTGTTTTTTTGTTTTTGTTTTTTTTTCACAGTGAAGACCTCAGAACAGCCAACGTGGTCGCGGTGGACTCTGTCACCTGCCTGGTCATCGACAGAGAGTAAGAAAGACCCATGTTACACTATTATTATTATTATATTATTATTATTATTATTATTATTATTATTATTATTATTATTATTTTATTTTATTTTTATGTATTTTTTTATTTTATTAAGGACCACAGAATATAACATTTAACAAAATTAAATAATCAACATAAAAACAAAACACCAACAAAACCCACAACACCCACACAAAAAAACATTTCCCTTCGACCACACACACCAAAATAAATTTGGTTAAAACAAAAGTAATGTGGTAGTGCAGCATAAACAAACTGCTAGCCCCCTTTACATTGATATATTTTGACAAATTTATAATTGAAATTCCCTTTTTTTTTTCCTCTCTCATTTTTAAATAAACATTTTCAGTCCCTATACTTAAACTAATAGTATTTTCACCATCATCATTTCCTTTCATCATCTTTTACTATTTATTACAAGCTCAAAGTGTAATTTTAAAGGTATTTCTTTTCTTTTTTTTTCATTTTGTTACACTATTTTCTGATCTGTGTTATAATTTCAGAAACAGACCTGGAGTTGTGTTTTGTTTCATTTACACGTTTAACCCACAAACCCTGCATATTTAGGCTGAGTTCTTCTCTTATACTGAAAATTCTCTGTTCCACCTTGTGATGTCATGTGGTAATACAGGATAATACAGTAATACAGTGTGTTTTTAAACTCTATACACCTTCACTAGAATCATTTGGGTAATTTCATCCCTGGAATTGCCAATCTCTACAAACAAACAACAAAAGGTAAAATGTAGCTGTTAACTTAAAAACTACCGCTTCGTGACATCACAAGGTGGAACGGAGTGTTTTAGCTTTGGAATTGTAGACAGATGAATGATAAAGGGTTACTCAAACATGTCTGAATGAAACAAAACAACTCCAGGTCTGTTTTTGATGAAGTAACAATGACTAAAAGCATGTAACTTTTCTACTTTTCTATTTTACGTAGTTATTACCTTGCCTGGAATGTTCCACAGTATGGCTTTATTGATGCCAACTTCAGTGCAACTTACAAGTCAGATCTGTGGAGCGGTCTCACTCATTGAAAGAATTTTTCAATGTATTCAATGAGTTTTTGAGAAATAAAAACACCTGTAATTGAATAAATGTAAAAGTAAAAGTACTGTTCTGCCATGTACTATGTTTCAAAAGCAGAAGTGTCTTGCTCAAGGACACAAGACCATAGTTACCAAACTTTTTGCCTGTGTACATTTTTTTCTTCCTTTAACCCTTTTTTCACAACTTGGTCAAAACAATTGGTTGTCATGGCGATTGTATGTTATCCTCTTATTCACAGTTTTATCGCTCATCCATGTGCAGTATTGTGAAAGACATTTATCTTATCTTATTTACTTATTTGTATTATCTTATTTAGTTTGTACAAAGACAACATCCAAAAAAATCTACATTTTTAGTGCTACAACATTGACTCGTCTAACAGTTTCTCAGATTACAGACTCATCGGTGGTGCCATATAAGGATGTTTGTTGCCATCTATTGGTCAAAGTTTTTATTGCAAGCAAATTATGCTTCACAAAATACCATTCAAAAAAGTAAGCATTATGGAAGATATTATACTCTTTATTTCTCAACCTTTATTCAGCTTTTGTTACACTCTTTCTTTTCTATTTCTGGTAAACTCACTAAGCTCCTTTAAAGTTGCACTATGTAACTTTTTGGTCGGAGGTCTATTACCTGCTTGTTTCTCTGGAGATGTCATTGCTCTGGCCGGAATGTTCCACAGTATGACATTAAACTGCTGTACCTTGCATTTATTAATTTATAGGTGGTTTTATTGCTCAAAAATCCCTAGAAAAACATGCTGTCTGACTGTGAGCGGGGTTGCCTCTCAACAGATCTGACCTGTAACTTGGTCTGGTTTGGTCTCCATGAAGATAGAAAGGTTTAATGCCATACTGTGACACATTCCAGACAAAACAATAACATCTCCATGGAGAAAAGCATTTGACAGAACCTCCACCAGAGAAGTTACACAATGCACTTTTAAATTTGACTGTAGATATAAAATGTATTTAACTCTGGCAACTTCATTTGCCACATTTTGAATAGTAAAGTGTCTTGTTCCAGTTCATTACAAACATTTTTCTCTTTCAGCTCATTCAAGCATCTGATTGGTGGACTTGAAGATGTCTCCAATAAAGGCTATGAAGATGCTGAACTGAAGGCTAAGTATGTCAATAATTATCATATAAATTGGGTGTTTTGATTGTTTAGATATAAAGTAATTTAGTTCAATTCAAAATCTTTATTCCAACCTGTTATAATAATAATACATCTTTATTTATAAAGCACTTTTAAAAACAAAAGTTTACAAAGTGCTGTACAAGCAGCAAAAACAATATAAAAAGCATAAAAATAGCAAACAGAAAGCATGCAAAAAAAGACAATGATGTTAACAATTTACTTAATTAAACTAATAAAATAGAATAAAAATAAATAAGGACTAAAAGTGACATAAAACTGACTAAAGGAAGGCCAACTGATAAACATGAGTTTTAATGATAACCATATTTTTCAGACTATACATCGCTCTGGAATGTAAGTCACACCAGCCAAAATATGTGTAATGAAGGAGAAAAAGCATATATAAGTTGCACCGGACTATAAGTCGCACTTGTGGGGGGAAATTTTTTTTATAAAATCAGAGACCAGGAACCGACATTTCATCTTGAAAGTCAAGTTCTAGTAATAACAATAGAACAGAGAACAACAGACTGTTAACGTCACATATGAACAGTTCTTCAAATTAAACTATAACATAAACAACAGAACAAGTTTACCAAACTCTCCATCTCACTCCAAGTCACTAAATCCATTCAATTCTTCATCCTCGGTGTCACTACTGAGCAACTCCCCGACCTCCGGAGGTAAACAGAGTGCCGCTTCCTCTTCTGTGTGTCGTCAGACTCGACTTCAGTTCCACTTAGAATTATTCCGGCCTTTCTGAATCCCAACAGGATGGTTTCTGTTGTCACTGAAGTCCAGGCTTTGTCCAACCATCCCCATTGACTTCCACGAAAATTGCATGGTGCATCCTCCCAGTTACCGTGAAGCTGTGTTCTCCATCCCCGCTTTCCGCTAGTCCCTCACAAGTTTCTCGCTCGATTACCATTTATATTTCACTAATTGCAGCAACTTCTTCTGCAAGAGACATGCGCAGTAGAGTGAAGTGACAGTGGTACAGGGAGTAATAGGAGTCTAGAACGCCCTCTCTCGGCTGTCAGTGTGAAAATTTTCATATATAAGTCGTAGGACCATCCAAAACATGAAAAAAGTGCAACTTATAGTGTGAAAAATACAGTAATTATGAATTAATGTTATGGGTATTTATTGCTATGGGTTATCTTTTGATCTATGTTATAATGTTGTTTCCTCTTCAAAAATATACCTGGAGCTAGAATCATTTGGATAATTTCAGCCTTGGAATTGGCCAATCTCTACTCAACAAAAGGTAAAAGGTTGCTGTGAAATAATTAGACGAATAATAAAGAGTTACTCAAACTTGTGAATGAAACAAAACACAACTTCAGGTATGTTTTTTGAGGAAGTAACAACATTAGAACATGGCTAAAAGTTAAAAACAGTCAATTTACTGTTGGTATTTCCAGCATATAAGTCTATTGACATTTAACGTTGTTGCTTTAGAGCTGGTCCCCATCATGGCGGCTGGTTTCACGGCGTGTTTACAGCAGATTCGAACTCTTCGTTACGTAAGATCAGTTTGTAATACGAGTGCAAAGGACAGAGGAGCGCACGCCTCTGCTCTGCACTCATGACACTCTTAAAGGGGAAACTATTATTACATTTCCATCTGTCAAAACAAACAAGTCCATTCACATCCAAGGGCCAAACATACTGCTTAAAATCACCAACAGAACTAAGTGGATGTGTGTACTAGTAGTAGTTTGTTGTAGTAGTAGTAGTAGTAGTAGCATTAGTAGTAGGAGTAGTAGGAGTAGTAGTAATGGCAGTAGTTGTAGTAGAAGTAGTAGTGTTAGTAGCAATAGTGGTAGAAGTAGTAGTAGTAGTAGTATTAGTAGTAGTGGGAATAGTAGTAATAGCAGTAGTAGTGGTAGTAGCGGTAGTTGTAATTTTAGTAGTAGTAATAGCAATAGTGGTAGTAGTCGTAGTAGTGGTAGTAGCAGTAGTAATAGCATTAGTAATTGTAAGAGTTGTTGTAATAGTAGTAGTAGTCATAGTAGTAGAAGTAGTAGTAGTAATAGCATTAGTAATAGTAAGAGTTGTTGTAATAGTAGTAGTAGTCATAGTAGTAGAAGTAGTAGTAGTGGTAGTAGTAGTAGTAATAGAGTAGTAGCAGTAGTAGTAGCATTAGTAGGATTAGTACTAGTATTAGTAGTAATAGTAGTAGTAGCAGTAGTAATAGCATTAGAAGTAGTAGGAGTAGTAGTTATAACAGTAGTAAAAGCAGCAGTAGTAGTGGTAGTAGCAGTAGTGGTGGTAGGAGTAGTAGTAGTAACAGCAGTAGCAGTAGTAGTATTGGTAGTAGTAGGAGTAGAAGTAGTGGTAGTCATGGTAGCTATAATGATAGTAGTAGTAGTAGCTGTAATAGTAGTAGCAGTAAAATTTCAAACTTGACTTCATTATTAAGAAATACACTTGATATATGATACCACGATGATAATAAAAACACTCTTTATTTAGACCACACTTGTCAAACTCAGGCCCGGGGGCCAAATTTGTCCTGCGATATAATTATATTTGGCCCACAAGATCATATCAAATATGTATTAGAGCTGCTCACCGGCTACAGATAGACTATACAGACATTATTTATTTAAAATGTTGTTTTTATTTAATATTAGGCTTGTTCTGGATTCAGTGTTTAAGCAAAACTCTTTTTAAATATTTATTTTGAGAAGTAAGAAAAGCTTTAACATATCTCGAAAGAAGAGAAAACATGCAGATGTTGTTGAAATTTTTCTATAAATATTTAGTTTGACCCACAACTTAGTCCCAGTTTTTAATTTTGACCATCTCTGAATTTGAGTTTCACACCCCTGATTTAGACAATAGAATGTGATTTTCAACATTAAATCATAGAACTTGCTGTTATTTTACCATTCGATCTTAAATCTGTTAATCCTGCAGTGGTCCGTGGGCGTATACTAGTCTCTTTGCTCTTATATTTGTTCTGATACAACTCAAGATCATTCTAAAACTATTCAGGAAAGCTTCATTTCTGTCTGATTCACGTGACGTTTTAGTATCAATCCTTGTTCAAATGAGTATCTAGTTTTGATACTAGTTTTCACATCAATTAGTGTCTGTTTTTCCATACTTTTTATAACTCTATTACACATATCATCTGAAGGAAATCCCCAGAGACACTGTCCAACTCCAGTCACTCTAAATATCTTTTATATGAGCAGTTTCATGAGGTCTCTGTGCCAATTTGGAAAACACCATCATGGAAAAACCCCGTTGAAATTTAATGCGACCTATTCACACATGCTCTGCTCATATTTAAGGGCCAATATTTCACAGTTTTCTGAGTTATGTTTTAATGTTTCCTCATCACAAACATACACTAGAATGTCTAGTACTCTAGTATAGTAGCAGTAGTAATAGTAGTATGTAGTAGTAGTAGTAGCAGTAGTGGTAATAGTAGTGGCAGTAGTAGTAATAGCAGTATTAGTAGTAGTAGTAGTATTAGTAGTAGTAGTAGTAGTAGTAGTAGTAGTAGTAGTACTAGTAGTAGTAGTAGTAGTGGTAGTGGTAATAGTAGGGGCAGTAGTAGTAACAGCAGCAGTAATAGTAGTAGTAGTAGTAGTAGTAGTAGTAGTAGTAGTAGTAGTAGTAGTAGTAGTAGTAGTAGCAGTAGTAGTAGCAGTAGTGGTAGTAGTAGTGGTAATAGTAGTAAAAGCAACAGTAGTAGTAGTAGTAGTATTGGTTGTAGTATTGGTAGTAGTAGTAGTAGTAGTAGTAGTAGTAGTAGTAGTAGTAGTAGCAGTAGTAGCAGTAATAGTAAGTAGTAGTAGTAATAGCAGTAATGTGGCTCCTGGTGGAGGGATGGTGCTTGGGCCTCAGGTGCCTGGGCTTCATCTCTCCCCTGGCTCCTGTGGTGGTTCCTGGTGGTGGTGGACGTCTCTCTGCTCCCGGTGCAGACGGCTCCTCTGATGGTGCTTTCTCAACTGGTTCGCCTGTATTCAGCCTCACATTTCACATTTTATTGTGTCCGGTTATGTATTTTAGCGTGTGAGTGTGAGTGTGTGTGTGTGTGTGTGTGTGTGTGCATGTTTGTGTTTATGTGAGTGTGTGTTTGGGTTGTTTGACTATGTGGGGTTGGGGGTGCGGGGGTTGGGTTGGTGGGTGGGTGGTTGGGTGGTTGGAAATGCGGGACTGTTTTTAATCACTGTAAAGCACTTTGTGTTGCATTTTGTATGAAAAGTGCTTTATAAATAAAGTTTGATTTGATTTGATTTGAATAGTAGTAGCATTAATAATTGCAGTAGTAGTAGTAGTGCAGTATTGGTAGTAGTAGTAGTAGTAGTAGTAGTAGTAGTAGAAATAGTAGTAGTGGTTGTAGTAGTAGTAATAGTAGTAAGTAGTAGTAGCAGTGGTAATAGTAGTGGCAGTAGTAGTAATAGCAACAGTAGTTGTAGTAGTAGCAGTAGTAGTAGTAGCAGTAGTAGTAGTAGTAGTAGTAGTAGTAGTTTCCGCATCACAAACATACTCTAGAGTTGTGTTTTGATGTTTTTGATGAGATAACAACATTATAACATGGCTTAAATATTACAAGAGTCAGTTTTGTGTAAGGATCTTTAATAGTTCAGCTGACTGCGCTCGAGTTGATGCACGTGTCCAAATATACCAGGGTTATTTACATGTGTATTTGAGGCATTGGATTGAAATGAAATGGGGACCACAAGTATTTGAAACAGTATCTCATGTCAGGACTGAACCGCTCTTAATCACCCCGAGAATAGCATCATTATATTAGAATAGATTAACTGTACAGAAACAAAAACAGATGCTAACTACATGTACCGCAACCTTTAACTATGCTGAGTGTGGATTTCTGGGTTTATATATTTTTTGTCTTGACCTGTGTTTCTCCAACCACTGCAAAAACTAAAATCTAGTCAAGTGAAGATTAGGGGTGTGCAAAAATATCAAAATATTGTATTGTTTAATGTACTGATACAATA